TCAATTGTTTATTAAGATGGTAAGGGAGATCTTAGTCATTTTCATTATGATTTGCAGGATGGTCAGAGGTGATAATCCATTTTCTACCAATTGTGTGGGCACAAAGAGCCTCTTATCCCTTTAGGCACTAGAAGCTGCGGCTAGAAAGGTGTTAATTGAAAAGAGATTGCTGTACCAACTGCAGATAAATTATGCATATCAAAAGTGGTCTCTCCATAATGTCTCTCCATAACCATGGGGAAAAATATTTGCTATGGGAGGGAATCTATTGCAGTTTATTGGTCAATAGAAAGGCAAACACTTTCATATCAGGACTTTAATCTCCCCCTCCAAAATATTTAAAGTGTCTACTGATCTCCAGAAATATTTGTCTTTAATAATTAAAAATGCTGAAATGGTTCCAGATTGCTATCTCTTTGTGTGATATCTCATGAGATGAGCTATTTCTTTTAAATTTTAAAACATTTCTTAATTTTTACATATAACACCTGCTGATATAGACTTTATATGACAGTAATTATGAAATATAGGACTCATTTATACAAAGTACAATAGATTAAAAACATATATTTCTAAGTTATATATGTCATAAGTACTTAAATGATATTTGCATTAGATAACTATAGAATTGTAACTTTTTAATGTGATGCTGGTTTTCCCCCCTTTGTTGTATATTTTTCATTTTTTTGCACATAGCATTCTCTCTCTCTCTCTGTGTATTTTTCTTCGACAGTGTATTTGTTCCTTTTTTGTTATTTTAAAAGTGAGAAATAAATAAATACATATAACACATGTTGATTGGGAAATTCTGGGAGCATGCATTTTAAAATTGTTGAGGTTGAGAAACACTGTTATAAAAATACCAGCAGCGAGTTGGAGTTATATGTTCACTCTAAGGGGAAATCAAGCAGAAGGTGAAATTTGTGTTACGTTTGTATTACATTGTCTGTTTTAAGAGTTAATGTTCTCCATTGGCTAGCGGTAGTTCCAGTTTGACCACTATGGCCAATCATTACATAGAAGTTATGCTCTGTGCTACCAGGCCTTGCATTTTCAGCTTTTCTTTGTCTTGGAGGATTAAGTAAGAAAACTAGGACAATTGACTTGCAGTTAGCATCCCCAAAGGACAGCTATTACAAGGAACTTAGAGACAGCATTTTCAAGTATCATTTTTCATGTGTAGGCTTACCTTTTATTCTACTACTATAGCATTGTGGAATATGTATTGCCAAAGGATTTGGTACTCCTGTTTAACATTTACATGGAACTGCTAGGGGAGATCATTTGTAGCCACAGGGTGAGGAATCATCAATATTGATGATACTCAACTCCACCCCGGCAATCTAAGTGATGCTATTGATGTCCTACCCTAATGCCTGGAGACTGTAAAGAATAGTCTAAATGAGGAACAACAGGCTTCTATGAATTCTGGAAAGAGTGAATGACTTTGGTTTTTACAGCTTCCTGAATCTGGGCGTTTACCATCTTTGGCACTGGATAGGGTACCACTACCACCTATAGAATAGGGGGCAGACCTGGGGGTCCTCCTGGATTTATAAGTCTTGGCTGATGAGCTGATGGCAAACATGACCAGGAGGGCCTTTGTACAACTTTGTGTTATGTACTAGCTGTCCTTGTTCCTGGATGGTGAGGCTCTGCTCAGTTATTCTTTTATCATCTTCTGAAGATACTGAAATGTGCTCTACGTAGGGTGGCCCTTCAAGAATAGCGAGAAGCTCCAGCTGGTGCAAAATGCAGCAGCACAAGCAGCTATCTGTGCCTCCAGGACATGTTACACTTCTGTTCTGTGAGCTACATTGGTTACCAATTTACTTCAGGGTCCAATTTACAGTTGCTTTAAAGTCCTACATGGCATGTGGCTGGGTTATCTGAAGAAACTATCTCTACCACATTACCTTTACCCATCTCATCATTCATGTTGCGGAGCTTGTCCACTAAGGAATACCCTCTGAGGGGACCAAGATGAGCCTTTTCTGCAGCAGCACCCACCCTTTGGGACATCATCCCTCCTGAGGTGAGGCTAGCCTCAAACCTTAGGCTTTCCAGAAAGCTTTTATGTATTTTTTAATCAAACCTTGGGATCTCCTGGTACCAGGGAGTCTACGCGATGGCTTCATCATGGATAACATTCTGATTTGACCCTCTCACGATCTTGGTTTTAACAATTTGTTTGAATTGGTTTTTATTTGATTGAAAATGTACAAGAGGGAACAATTACCAAAATTTGTGAAGGTAGTTTGCAAAGCAAATTCTTGTCTTCGACAGCTTATGGAACAATGCATGAATACAAGAAGGAAAGTGTAATAATATAGTGGACCCGGCACTGCAATGCGGAAAAAGTCACCAAGTTGTTCTATATTTATATTCCCCTCAGAATTAAAACCACTGAGAAATAATGTCCTTTCCAATTTAGATTGCAGTAAGAATATTGCCTATTTCAGCAATCCTTCTGTATGTAATTCAGAATTCAGAAGGGGAAAAAGTAGGCTATTACATTCTACTTTCCTATCAGTTTGGAACTGATGGGTCTGTAGTAATTGAATACTATTTTTGAAATAGCTGTGAATAAACTCATCTAGAGACTTTAATGCAGTTGAATGTATCAATGTGTTATAATATTTGTTTTCTTTTCCTTCTTTGCTTTTCTATTTTGTCGTTTCTTAAAAAAATACACTTTCAACACAGAAAGTTTTACAAATTTCTCATATTTCCAGTAATACGGATTTCAAAACAGAAATCTTCTGTGCTTACAATATTTTATTTCCATGATAAAAAAAATGGCAGATTTGGCACAGTTTGCAGGGACCTACTTAGAATATAGTGGCAATTCTCACCAACACACAGCTTACTCTCTGTATCTTTTGCAGAAATTAGACATCACACAATTTTATCTGTAGGCCACCACTTCCACCATACCCAAACATTTATTTCTCCAAAACTATTGCTACGACAAATATTTGTTTTACTTCAGGAAGGATTTAACAGTTCCAACACATTTACTCTTCTAATACTGTACCAAAAGAAAGAAGAGATGTACCTCCAATATTGTACATTATAGTATATACAAAGTACAGGTTTCTTGCTTTCCTTTTTGATTTCACAGGAAAATATATACACCACATGTAGATATTGGTGTAGAAGATAAAGAACAATTGAAAATTGCTTTTAAAATAAAAAATATTTCATTCCAAACCCATTACAGCTGCAATTAATTAAAAATGCATTGTGTGGACTCAAACCTGACTTCACAGGATTAGATTTTAACACAAAAACTGAAAATTGCTTCACTGTGCAACTGAACTCTGTTACATACAGTAGAATAAAGACAGTGCTGCCCTTCTTTTTCAAATACATTTGCTTCAGCATTTGCTGGGTTTTGGCTACATGGATTTCAGTCTGTCTTTTCCATTACCTGTTTGTATTTTAAATATATTGCTCTAACATTTTGGCACTCACAGAGCCCAATCCATGAAGCTCCCTGTGGGCAGATTACTCCCTCCTACTTTCAGAGACAGAGTGATTAAGCAGCAAAAGTCCTTTAAAAAAATTATTACAATGCTGCTACAGTAATGAAGATAATTTTCACTTCACTTGTTTAGAAGCAAAAATGGCCCAAAAGATACATATATATAGATATAGATATATATATATTTAAATATACAATCTGTTCTTGCAGTGTTAAATTGTTTTAAAAAACTCTCAAAAGTTTAAATATTTTTCCACCCCATGCTTGCATGATCACCTCAGATGGAAACATTAAATATTTTTTTCCCCTTTCCATTTAAGCAAGTGAATTGGAAGAGTTGTTAACATTTTTAAAGCAGCTACTGCTCATGCATAGTTATTTGTGTGCTACACAGCAGAGAAAAAGTAGGCTATTTCTCCATGCCTTGTGCAGTCTGAGCATGATTTCAGATTGGCTGAGGTTGGAAACATTTCTGAGAACTAGCTGTAAAGCTGTAAGCAATATAGAATGCTTGCTGTGAATAAAATGTATTAGTATTTTCTTAGTTGTGGGAGGTTATTCAGCACCATGTTCATGCCAACACTGGGAAAATAAATCCCCAAATGTATTGTCTCTTTGAGAAATTACAGCCTAAGGCCACCTCTTGATATTTTATAGGTTGCAAATCTGACTGAAGGCTCATAATCAAGACAATTAGCTTTTCTTCCTGCTTCTTAAAAATCTTTATTAAACTTCTGTAGTTACTGAAAGCCATCTTAAACTGTACATTGATTTCTAGAAAAGGTTCAGTGGAAATCAATTTTAGCCTTGAAAGGTTTTTTCAATCCTTCGGGGCTGTGGTCTATCTAGAAAATAAGCAAATTGGCTATTAAGGAGTTTGCTTGCATCTATCATGCTCAGATGCTTTCTAGAATCAAGAATAAATCAGAACTTGGAAACTGGTGGCTTCAGAATGTACTCGGTTTTTTAAGTTATTGTCAGGCCTCAGCAATCAAGGTTTTCTCTTGAAACTACTCAGAAAACTGGTGACACCCACCAAAGCAAAAGAAATATAAAAGTAGGGTTTTATATTTCTTATATAATCCAAAAGAACAATAAAATTGAATATTAAAGAGTATGCAATAATCCTTCCCCAACTCCCTTCTTCAAATAGCAGAGAAAAGCAGGAAAGGTGATGGTAATTGAGGAGTGGGCTGGTCTGTCTTCCACTAAATTCTGATTAGCTCAGAGAAGATAATCGTGGCTAGCCGGCACAAGGAAGGATCAGTTGTGAAATAAAAACTCTCAAATTATAAGTTTCAAGTAGGCAAGTAAAGGTTTGTGCAGCTCTGAATCTGATATGCAACCATGATCCTGTAGGGAGAAATCAGTCTTTCAGCCAGTCAACAGTTATTCTAGGGCCGTGATGGTGAACCTATGGCACATGTACCACAGGTGGCATGCAGAGCCTCTCTGTGGGCACACCAGCTGTCACCCAAGCCCAGCTCCACCGTGCATGCATGCGTGCCTCCCACCAGCCAGCTGGTCTTGTTGCACCCCATTTTGGGCCTGGAAGACCTCCTGCACCAACCTGGAAGCAAAAAATGGGCGGGCGGGGCATGCATGTACAGAGGGATGGTCACGTGTGCATGCACAGGTTGTGCGTGCATGCAGGGGGAAGTGGCACGCAGGGGAGTCGTGCACACATTGCATTATGGGTGTGGGCCAGTGTGCGTGCGCCCTGTTGCGGGCCTGTGCGTGCTTTCATCACGTGACAACAAAAAGGTTAGCCATCACTGTTCTAGGGGTTCATTATGTTGCCTATTCTTGAAGGGGCAAAACTGGAAAAGTTCCTGCTTTGCCTGCTCTACTCTCTATGTTAGGCGAAATCTATTACCTCAATAGAACAATATTCAAATGAAGAATTGTAAAAAACAACAACAAAACCCTATGATATTTCATGCTCACAGTACCAGCATTCTCCAGGGTTTTCCACAGTATGAGTGGCAAAAAGAGCATTATTTTAGTGTTCAGAATTCTGCTCAGAAAACTAACAGCTAGCTGCCTTTCTTTCAAATGTCTGCTTAATTACTTTCATAAGTTTATCAGGTGATACTTTCATACAAGACATGACTTAAAAAACATGGTTCCAGTTGTCAACGTTTGGCTTTAAAATTCAGGAATATTTTAACTAAAAATAGCGCAAACCTACACGTTCCAATTCCATAAAAGATTTTATGGGCAACTTGTGTTGCCCATAAAACATAAGATAATACTATGTTTACTTTGCACGAAATGCTACTAAGTTTGATGGGAATTGTTTTCTAATTTTAACTGAATTTGGCTATAAAATATGATAAATGTGATGCGTTTGTGGACATCTTATATTGAGAATGATTTGCTACGTTACACAGAGATTTATTACAGTAGCCAAAAGGATTATTAATACATCTAGTCATAAAAGTTTCTGTATCACTGTTTAATTTATATTACACTGCTTATGGCATGACCTTGTGCATAGTAACAGCCATGAACTTTCTTGGCTGAAAATTCCGTACTTCATCTGTTTCTGCTGGTACAAGATTTTCCAGATATAAGTTGCCGCTATATATACTGTTGATTACTGACAAAAGAAACATTAATGTGCCACCCTAATCTATTCTGGCCATTAGCACTAAAGTTAGAATTGTGCCAATTACTTTTAAGATGCCTTCTATCCTCTGAACAACATCAGTACCTTCTTCTATGTGTAAGCAGAAATAGGAACTTCTAAGTATCTTAAAAATTTCACCAAAGTAGAATGATAGAAATCCATGACTATTAATGAACATACAATCATTGAAGGTTGTCATGTCAATGTGGCCCAACTTAATTATTTCTCTTTCTGCAATACTCTGCTCATCATCTATATGGGGAAAGCATTATACTTTTGAATGTGCAGCAGAAGCTGTTCCCAAGTTTTAAGATAGGTGATTTAAGTATTTATATATGCAATATAAATCTCTGTGTACACTTAGATTCCAACAGAGGGACACTTAATAGTTTGTAAATTGAGAATTCAGTGTTGAGAGAGAGAGTAAACATATACCAAAAGTACAATTAAATAGACAAAAATTGCCAACTATTACCTGCATTAAAAAACACTCTTAATGCACACACACACACATACCACACACAACCCAGTTGGGTAACTGGAAGCTTTCCAGGGCTACAAAGCATGGTATAAACCTAGTAAAAATGAAGTGTTCTTTACTTGAGTTATTTTGATTGGCAAGGTTGCCCAAATGAGATATGCCTGCAAAATGCAAAATGAGATATGCCTGTTCACACCATGTGCTAAGGCTTTTCATGTGCTCTTAATGAAAGGGAGATTTTCAGTAGGCATTGGGGGTTTATTAGTATCAGTGCTCCAGAGGAGACATAATGCTGATCCTCCCTCTGGCCACCACAGGTAAAAATAAAAATCTCTCCCTCTGTCTTAAAAATTGGTAGCAATAGTGTAATCTTTAAAAAAAGTACTTTAAAATATCCAGTAGTTTTGCCTGAGTGAAACATAATAGGAAGGAAGGAGTTCTGACTAATCCTGAGAGTTAATTATCAGACTGCAGTACTCAAGTCTAAAAATTCAAGATGTAGAGGAAATGTGGACACACAAAAAGGGAGAAAATGATCCCCCAAATCCAAATGGTTTGATTTTATCTCTGAGATTGTGACGATTTTTACAGGCAATTAAATAGCCCAGCATTTTGGGGACCGGGGGGGGGGGGAGTAAAAGATCAGTTTAAATAATAGTCATAATCTGAAAAAAATACTGTCAATTTGTTCAGAGAATTATTTTAAAAAACTAACTATAAGAAAAATAGGCTGGAACTTGAAACCGAGAGCATTAAACAAACACATTTCAGTTCTTTATCTCAGCATCAGTTGACAATTAGAGAAGTGGGATAAAATCCATTTTAATTCAAAATGCTTCTTTTGTTTTTAGGATGATCCTATTTTGAATAGGAATTTATTTTCCAATAAATGAAAACAAAAGTCTGTGTCATTTGTTGGAATCATAGAAAATATCATATTAAGCTGATTGACTGGATCATCTGTAAAATGCTTGAGGAAAGGATAATCTATCCCAGAAGTATGGTGCATACTGGACATACGCCTGTCTCAAGACTGTTGATTTTCTTAACTTTAGGCTGCCAATTATATCTCAAACACATAGAAGACTAAATCAAAGAAAGATAAGGAGGGTGAGAGAGAGAGTGAGAACAACAAAATGAACTGTAACAGCTTGTTTAAATTTTTAACATTTCTTCAGTTTCTCTGCTGAGTTCCCATGAAAAAAGGCTATTTAATTGAAATTTCATTCTGAAATATTTGGGTTTCCTTATGTTCTGGAAGCACCACGGAAATATATACAGTAAATAGGAAGTGTGCAATATCTCATACTTTGTACTTCTTCCATATGATTAGTTTAACTTTAAATGAACATATATGTCTGAATATAAACATGCCTTATTAGCCCAGGACTAGGCTTTCCAGGCACATTTCATAAGGATTTTCAACCTAGGATTGAAAACACTGAACCTAGTGTTTGAGAATGGGTATGCTGAAAAGAGACCAAAGAGAATGGAAAATTAATACATCTTGTAGCACTATTGAGGACTGTAGTCATGCGCAAAACTCACTTAGCCAGTGGCAACAAAAGCATCCATCAATAACAAACACCTTATTGTTTTCCCTGTAGTGGTTGAAGCAAGAAAATCCTTTCTACCAATTTCCAAGTCATGTGATCATTGAAAAGTCTCCCAGCGACCAGACACTTGAACAAGGCATTGATTAGTTACCAGTAATAAGCTAATTAATTGTGCCTTTCCCTCATTGATTTCAAAAGGACCTCAGGCTTTCTGTCTCAGGTTACACAGACTTTTGACACCCTAGTAAATGCTAGGGTGGTGTAACGCGAGGCTTAATTAGCTGGATCTTTCTTGGTGAGAACATTCCTGGCACCAGTAACTTATGAACTAATCTTTAGTAGAAGTTCAATACTAATTAAATAGAAATTGTAAGGTCTCCTTAACAGAGTTCCCTAAGCTGAAACAAAAATGCTGTATTCACAGTAGGCTTTTCAGTTTTACACAGTACAAGACTTGTCAGTAGACTGTTGAGAAGCTGAGGCAACTGCAGCACTTGAGGAGTTTGTTTTGGGGAAAACTGCTGGCTTTGGCCTAGTGGCTGGAGGTTTGACCTGGGCAGCCATTTTGACAGATTTTGCTGGCCTGAAGGCACAGGGAATGTCACTTGCCATGCTGGCACTCCGCTGAAAGGCTGGTTCTGGGTCCTTGAGGATTTGAGTATGCAAAGGGCTGGAAGGCTCAGAGGTGGGTGCAACTACAGGGGACATTTTCATTGGCTCCAGCGTATCAAGAACAACATCTGGTGTGTGTTTCACATTGCTTTGCCTTTCTAGCTCCCGCAACTCATTCAGAGCAGAATTCATAGTAGCTTCAATATCCTGCAAAAAAAATAAAAAAAGTTGGATGTGACAACCAGAAGCTGGGTTGAGTAATTGTCTAAGGTGAATAAGAAATATGAAGCAAAATGGACAGTGGTAGACGCAAAGGCATGGAAGGACTTGGAGTCAAAATTAATCTCCTTGGCAAGACTAGTATCATCCTTGCCTTGAAACTAGAAAACTGTTAATGATATCTAAAAACCTATTCTTAGGGTTTTAGATGGCAGACAGCTTAGTTAGCTATGCAAGTTTTCATATAATTTATGTAAGTGAATCTTACATATAATTTATGTAAGTGAATCTTACATATAATTTATGTAAGTGAATCTTACATATAATTTATGTAAGTGAGCTGTAGCTATTTTCTCTGAACTTCATCAACATTCTCAGTCTCATTTTTTAATCCTTGAAACTAAAGTTCAGAAAAACAGTGAATTCCATGGTTTTACTCTGATTCTAAATGATGATGATTTTCAAATGGAAGCTTTTTTTTAACAAAGCTTTTGATTAGTAAAATTACAGCAGCAAAAAATCTTGAACAGATTATAACAGAAGTCAGAAGGGAATACTGAACTATATTTTCCTCAAATCTGTTTCCTCAATCTATGAAAAAGGAGAAATTACCCACATTTTGAGAATTTTTTATCCATTCCTTTGGTATACCAAGCTGAACCTTGAGAGTGCTGAGATTCCTGAAAAGAATGGAAACATGCTTAGCTGCATGCTAGCTTTATGGTTAATGAGTGGTATTCCACTTTGCATCTGGAGCATGGCATATCTAGCATCTCCTCATTGATGCTACATATTTTATGGCATTTTAAATATCCATAAGCTCTGGAGATGTATGAAAAATGTTGCTTATGACACTTGTCTCTTTATGTGGTTAAAGCAAGAAATAATGCAAGAGACAAGTAGGGAAATGTGTCAGGCCAATCTCTTCTCTTGTTTCAGTTTTAAGTCTACAAATTTATTTCGCATTTCAGCTATGGATGTGGGCTTGACTGGCATAATAGATTTTTGGACAGCTGAAATGATTTAACATTTCCATGACTCACAGTTTGGCTACAACATTTAAGTTTCCTCATAGATATTTTAAAAGGCACTTGGGGAGGTAAATCAGTCCAGGAGGAGAAAGAGGAGGAAGCAAAGACAGTAACCCAATGCCTCTGACTGCAGTCTGAAAAGATTTTAAAGCAAAATACAGATCTCTGAGAGATAGTGATGTCAGATGAAAGATGAGTATCTTGCAGAGTTTGAAATCAGACCTGGGAGGATATGAAAGGGCAGCTATAATTTAATGTAACCTTTTTTAGTTTTATTGATCAGATTCCCTTATGGAAACAATGAATTACATTTTGGCAGAAAGTGGAAAGGGGATAAAAGCAGATTTTAATTGACAGCAAAAAGATATAAGCCAATCAAAACTTTGTAAAGAGGTATCAAGGCAATAATATCCAAGTACTGTATATGGCAAGGATAAAACACATTTGTGAAGAAGAGGACCATAACAGGATAAAACACATTTGTGAAGAAGAGGACCATAACAGATATTACCAATTAGACTACAGAACAGGAAATATAGAAGTTGACTCTTGCCTAGGTTGGTAAAAACCCAGTTATAATATCTACCTATTTGTTGGACAACATCATAGAATTAGAAATGATGTTAATATTAATTTAAGCCTGTAATAACGTTTTTGAAATAAGTAATAGAAGAATACATGATTAGTATAAGGTTATATTCCACTTGTCATCTGCTTATATCTTTTGCTAATTTTCAACATAACTGGATAAGAATAATAAGACCTTCTTATATTTAAATTCTATCCCTCAAAAATGGCATAAGACTCTACTTGAGCAGCTGCATCTAGCTGATCTCAAAAACAGTTAAGCAAGGTCAGAACTGGTTAGTACTTGGATGAGAGACCTCAAGGAAAACCCACAGATGTTGGCTATATTGGGAAGTTGGGAAAATATTCTGAAAGAAGGTACTGTAATGGTAAGCCACTTTTATACTTCTGCAAAGAAATTACATGAATGTCCTTCAGAAACTTGCTCAAAGCCTGCAAAATTAGACAGGAAAAACAATGGCATGAAATAGGTATGGCTTAGCCAATTAACTATAAGTACTGCTACTATCCTAAAACCTTCTTTTCTGTGTGCTGCCTTTTAGAATATGACAACATTGTGACTTTTCCCTTCAATTCCAGTATAATTTCAGTTTTGAAATGCAGTGTTTTGCACTGCAATATTCTCACTTTTTTACAAACCTATCACATACTGGAAAAACTGGCCAAAAATCCAAGCATAACTGAAGAAGAAACAATAGTGAAAACCTACTCTATGTGTAGTACAATATTGGTAAATGTAGCTGCACTGTGTTTTATGGATATTGGAAGTTTTTTAAAAATTCCATCTGCTTTAGTATTGCTCATTTCTAATGACTTTAAAATGTGGGCAGAGTTGCTGAAAAATGTGGGCAGAGTTGTTTGATTAATTTGGTTAATCAAACAAAATTGGATACAAGACCCTCCTGATGAACTTAAGATTTTAAAGCATATTTATATTGGCTTGTATCTCTTGCTGGACTACTTTAACCAAAATGCTGGACTGTCGACCTTTTATGAAAGCAATACATCAATAGTGAAGAGAAGGGGAGCCCCGTATTTGTGCATGTTTTAAATCTGGCTTCACCATCCAGCTTGGGAGAAAGTTCCAGCTAAGAGAAAGGTATTTTCTTGTGTGGGCTTGGTTTAAATGTCTCAGCATCTATATCCGGTCACAGCTGTGTATACACACATGCAGAGAATACCAGCCCATATTTCTGCCAACAGAAACAAAGAGAGCCGCGTTGTTCAAAGGATAGCTTCTTATCACACACAGACACTGAGAAACAAACAAAAAAAGACTTAGAAAAGTCCTAAAAAACAAGGCAGGTGGCTGTTCTAGACAGATTTCTTCTCCTCTCTCAGGACTTTCAACATCTAACTTGTCAAGAACAGAATTGACTACAGTTTGAAAACAATGACAAAGAAAACCCTACTTTTCTAACATTTTGTGCTCAGAGATTCAAACGCTGTTGGTAGAAAAGATGCTGGAATCTTAAAAAGGCGTATCATTAAGAAGTGGCTCAGATTCCATGAGGTTCTTGCAAATATTTTCCCAGATGGTTTATGAGAAGTAAAATGACATAATAAAGCTTTATGAATTTCAAGTGATCAGAAAGCCATAAATTGAAGAAATAAATCAAATTTCAATTAAAATAGTTATTCTACAAAATAAGAGTAACTATACTACTGGTGAGAGTGATTATGATGCTACTATGGAGTTGATTCCCTTACTGTTGGTCTCATTAGGACCTCACTTTATTAGCTGCAGAAAACTAGAGAAGGGATGTAAAAATTTTCAGATCCATTCACATTTAATTTTATTAAAGTAGATTATATAAGTGACAAGAGATGATCTTTGATTATATAGGATAAAATTCAACTTAAAAGCATACACTATGTAAATGTAAGATTTACTGAATTTGTTTATAGGTAACTACAGTTCTATGATGTTAAATATTTGAGCGATGAAAGGAGGAAGAACTGATTTTCTATTTACTGGTCCTACTTTAGTTAAAGGGAGCATGCAAAGCTTGCCAGTTCCCTCAACAGTATTGACTATGAAAACATTTTCTGTTGTATTCTGTTATATTACACATAATAGTAAACATATTTTTAGCATTTGGGTTTGCTTCCAGAAACAGAATAAGTTTCTCCCAAAGTTTAGGAAGTTACAAAATTATCAATTAAATATGTATGTCTGTATTTAATGGAGATGCTTTTCAGCTCACAATCTGGGTCTTTTCCACCCTCCTTGAATCTGTGAATATTGATCCTACACAGACAAAATGTAGTAATTGTTTCATGCTTTTGGGACTGATTAAACATGCAGCAATCACAAACTGAGCTGATGTTTCAGAAGTGAAAAACAGACTTTCAATTTTTTTAAAAAACTGTAAAATATTCAGATTTGAATTTGAAATTCAAAATCAAAGGTTACCTCATAATTCAAAACTTGACTTGTTTTGATCACCTCTAAGGGGACGTTTCCTGATCTGAAGCAAATACTGAAGCAAAATATACATTATTGACATCAAATAATACTTGTTGCCACATCAAAATATTCAGAGAATATCTGGAAAATATTTTGAGTATTCTATGAATGTAATGAATATCAACACCAAACTCACCAAAGAGATTTTAAAATGATTGCAGGAGATGAAAGAATCAATTTGGTATTCTTTGAAGATCACCCTAGCCTAGAATTTCATTACCTGTGCAATGACTTCAGGATCCATGGGTCGGTGGTTATTAAAGCTCTTTGACCTTCCTGCAGTCACGTTCTTCCGGATATGGGGGCTATCTATTCTGTTCTTCAGAGAGGCATGCCGACTGAGAGAATTGAGGCTCCCATGGCCGCTGATGGAGCATGCATCTGGGACTGGTACATCTTTCGGGAGGCTTTGGCTCATAATGGGTTGTGAGGAAGGACGAGGACTAGCTATAGCTCCAGATGGTGTGGGTTCCCCCAGTGAGCTGGGTAATCCATGGCTGTCACTCTGACGGAATGCTCTTCGTATACTCCCTGACTCAGGCTTCTTTCTTTGTCTGTCATTATAAAAGCAACACAAAAAACATATTTTTCGAACAACATGGATAGAAATAATTTCTGAACAAAGGCAATTTCAGAAAGGAAAGAAAGTTGCTTAATAAGCATATGCAGAAACTACCATTTAATTCTAGTTGTAACATTAACACTAGTTGTAATATCCAGCCAATGTATATATTAATTAGAACAGAATATGAACTAAAGTAGCTGGGGTCACTGGCACCAGCTATTGGCAGTAATATATGGAGGTCATGGATTCTTAAACTGTTAAGAAACTCTAAATGTTAAATTAGAGTTTTACCATTGATTTAGGGTCTGTTAAGCTTCCTTCCTTTGAATTAAGGAGGTGGGAAAAAGTAATTATATATTCTGTACTGATTTCTTTGAAATGATGAGTTATAAATGGGTGGCATTATAACTATAGTAAACATTTGTAAACAAAATGTGGATTTCAACAGCAGATTTCAGTGTTTGTGGCAATTTATCTCAGCAGAATACCTTGAAAACAAATGCTGAAAAAACAAATGTCCAAAAGATAAACTGGGATTTGTTCAAGAACTGAATAAGATCAGCCCAACATATCCAAGCAGTTCAGGAATTCTTCAATATTTAAAAATACTTTATGAACAAGATGCATATTTACAAGATGAGAATGAATTTTGTCAAAAGTATGTGCAAGTATTTAAATTTTCAATTGTTCAGACTTTGGAACTTTCCATTTTGAATGTGAAACAGCTGTTCTGAGTGTAAAAGGGACAGCTTTCACTGTTATTGAAGTATTTTAAATTCAAAACAGTTCCATTTTTAGTTCAGAACACTTTTTTCCATTCAACACATTTCTGGAATGCTTTCAAAATCTTTGGTTTTCAAACACCTGTCTCACTTTCAAACTCAGGCATTTTGAATGGATGGAGTATATTTCATTCACAGAACAGGTTGAATGTGCAACTTTTGCATATCAATATTGTATTGCATGTAGTAAGAAACAGACACTTTATCTAACCAAAACCTGATATTTATATTTTGGTATTTAAATAAAAAGCAATATTAGATAGGAACTGCTATATCATACAAGCATGTGAACTACTCTATGCGGAGCAGTGGTGGGTTCTGGATCCCATTGCAACCGGTACGCTGAGACGGAGTTGGGTGTCCACCATGGGCAAGCACGCTGCGCACGCATGCACACCCACCACCCTGCGACGCTCAGCTGCTCGGTGGAGCATCGCGCAAGCACTGTATACTGCATGCGTAAATAGCCTGGTTGGCTTAAATACAAGTAAGGGATGAGGGCGGGCGGGCCCTCCAAAGCACGGTTCTGGTACAGTGGCTGCTGCTCCCAGCCCATAGCCTGAGCCTGTAAAGATGAAGTAAGGAAAGCTAAGGCTCACAATGAAGAAAGGCTTGCCACATTTGTAAAAAATAACAAAAAAAAGCTTCTTCCAACATGTTAAAAACATGAAAAAGGTTAAGGAAACAATTGGTCAATTGCTGAGAGAAAGTGGCAAGAAGGTGACAAACAACAGGGAGAAAACAGAACTATTTAACTCATTTTTTTGCATCAGTCTTTACAAATGTGGCTAAAACAGTCCAACCTATCAA